AAACACTCTACTGCTCCCCGTCCTACTCAGAGGAGAAGCCCCAGCCACCTCCTTGTCTTCATCTCTCTTTACTTCTACCTTCAGCATCACATCCGGGTTTTATGGAGCCCGAAGCTTATAAAATGGAGAGCTTTTTAAGAGGCATCATCCAAAATAATGTATGAACTTGAATATTTATTAGAGTAAGAAAATAAACCAGAACAGATGAAAAGTCTCCCTGTATTCATCAGGGTTCTCCAGAGAGACAGAACCAATAGGGCAGATATGCAGTGTAGATAAATAAGAGGGATTTATTAGGGGAATTTGCTGACATGATTATAGAGGCTGAAAAGTCCCATGACAGGTGTCTGTAAGCTGGAGACCTTGGAATGCTGGTAACATGGCTCAGTGCAAGTCCTCAGCACCTCAGAACCCAAGGGGCCACTGTAAGTCCTGAAGCCAGAAAGCCTGAGGTCCAAGGGCAGGAGCAAGGGAGTGTATCCCAGCTCCAGGAAAGAGAGCAACCAATTTTCCCTTTCTCTGTTTTTGTTCTGTCCAAGCCTCTAGCCAATTGGATGGCATCTGCCCACATTGAGGGTGGATCTTCTCCACTGAGTCCATTCAGGCTAACGCCAAACTCCTCTGGAAACACCCTCAAAGACACACACCCAAATAATGGAGTATTAGTCTGTTTTCACGCCACTGATAAAGACATACCCCAAACTGGGCAATTTACAAAAGAGGTTTAATGACTTACAGTTCCACGTGTCTGGGGAGGCCTCACAATCATGGTGGAAGGCAAGGAGGAGCAAGTCACATCTTATGTGGATCGCAGCAGGCAAATAGAGAGATTGTGCAGAGAAACTCCCATCTTCAAAACCATCAGATCTCATGAGACCCATTCACTATCATGAGAACAGCACAGGAAAGACCTGCCCCTATGATTCAATCATCTCCCACCAGCTCCATCCTACAACACGTGGGAATTATGGGAGCTACAAGATGAGATTCGGGTGGAAACACAGAGCCAAACCATATCAAATGCTTTACCAGTTCTTGAGGTATTCCTCAATTTAGCTAGGTTGACACTTAAAATTAACCATCACACTCCCAACTCAACTTCCTCTTAGTTGGATCCAGAAAATGTCAAATGCCAAATGACCAACACCATCCAACTCAGGGGATGTGCAACAAAGGGGAAGTGGTAGTGGAAGGAGACAGCAGTCCCAATCATTTGCGGTTGAAATATCTTATTTCTGCAAAGTTTGCAAAATGTATGACCACAGGAGCGCATTGCTAGGGCTCTTTCAGGACTTGGAGGGCACCGTGCAAGTGAGGTGTCCTGAAACGTTGCAGTGAATCCACCTCTACTTCCTTTTCTATTTTCTCTTCTCTCTAGCCATGTTGGCTTCCTCTGTAGGAAAATTCCAAGTCTGTTCCCTTTCCAAGGCTTTGCTTTTGCTGATCTCTCAGCCTGCAATTATTTTCCCTGAGATATCTGAATGGTTCCCTTCCTCATTCCCTTCTGGTCCCTGCTCAAATATCACTGTGTCAGAGAGTCCTTCCCAGACATCCTACATGAAAAATTACCCCCACCACTCTCCACCCTTCTTGCCCTGACACATTCCTCCCCCTGGTACATGTCAGCACCTGATAGGACTTCTAGCTATTTGCTGTCTGTTTTTCCTCACTAGAATGTGAGGCAGGCAGAGACTTAACTGTTTGACTCATTAATTTATCTCCAGCACCTATAACAATGCCCGGTCTATAGTAGATGATTGGTAAATACTCATTGAATCAATAAACGTAAATGTTTTATTTGTTGCAGGTGTTACTTTGCAAATACTTATTGAGTCAATAAACGTAAACGTTTTATTTGTTGCAGGTGTTACTTTGCAAATACTTATTGACAGGCCTTGGTTGGACGGTATAATTCTGGGGAGCAGGGGACTTATTTCTCCTTTCATTTATTAATTCACCAAATCTGAGCACCTCATGTTAGGCAGTGGATAGGCAATGATAACAAAAATGGTCCTGACCCCAACGTCAGGGAATCTGCAGCATATACTACAAAAAGTAGATTTTGGCTGAGCGCAGTGGCTCACGTCTGTAATCCCAGTACTTTGGGAGGCTGAGGCAGGCGGATCACTTGAGGCCAGGAGTTCGACACCAGCCTGGCCAACATGGTAAAACCCCATCTCTACTAAAAGTACAAACATTAGCCAGGCGTGGTAGTGCACACCTGTAATCCCAGCTACTCAGGGGGCCTGAGGCAGGAGAATTGCTTGAACCCAGGAGGCGGAGGCTGTAGTGAGCCAAGATGGCTCCACTGTACTCCAGCCTGGGTGACAGAGTTGAGACTTTGCCTCAAAAAAATAGATTTTCATACAAATGTTCATGGGAGGTGGGGTATGTTGAAGATAGAGTCTGGAAGCACTGTGGGAAGCATGAGATCTTAGCAAGAGCAATCACAGCTAACATTTGTTTTGCACTTCCTATGTGTCAGGCACTGTTACCTGAAAGCAACAGCACTGTGAGGTGGATGACACTACGATCCTCATTTACAGATGAGGAAAGGAGGCACAGGGAGGTTACACACCTCACCCAGGGTCACGCAAATAGTACCTGGCAGAAACAGGATGTGAACACAGGCAACTTGCCTCCAGAGCCACGCTCTTAGCATTCGGCTATAGAAGGTTTAAGAACCACCCCATCTCCCTCACCTTGCAGATGAAGATCACAACTTTTCTTTCTTCTATCTCCAGCATCCGACGCATGTATGTCAGCGGGGTTGAGCTGACACTCCAACCCTCTGCAGAGCTTACAAGCTCTGGTACTGCCTCCTCCATGCTATTCAGTTACCCATGGCCTTGATATTTGTCATAATCACTAATATTAGTTCAGTAGTTAATCGGTTCACAAAGCATTCTCACATGCCTTACGTATTAGTCTGTTTTCACACTGCTAATAAAGACATACCCAAGACTGGGCAATTTACAAAAGCAAGAGGTTTAATGACTTACAGTTCCACATGGCTGGGGAAGCCTCAAAATCATGGCAGAAGGCAAGCAGAAGCAAGTCACATCTTATGTGGATGGCAGCAGCAAAGAAGTTGGTCAGGGAAACTCCCCCTTATAATACCATCAGATCTCGTGAGACTTATTTGCTTTCGCGAGAACAGCACGGGAAAGACCTACCCCCATGATTCAATTACCTCCCACCAGGTCCCTCCCACAACACGTGGGAGTTCAAGATGAGATCTGGGTGAGGATACAGCCAAACCATATCACCTTATCACACTTAATCTTCATAGTCATACTAATTGGTAGGTATCATGATGCCCATTTTACATGAGAAGAAATTGAGAGGATGGGAGAAGGACATTGCCAAGGATGTTGCTTTAGAAGGAGTGGGACCTGGCCGGGTGCAGTGGCTCACGCCTGTAATACCAGCACTTTGGGAGACCAAGGCAGTCAGATCGCCTGAGGTCAGGAGTTCAAGACCAGCCTGGCCAACATGGTGAAACCCCGTCTCTACTAAAAATACAAAAAATTAGCTGGGCGCTGTGGCGGGTGTCTGTAATCCCAGCTACTCGAGAGGCTGAAGCAGGAGAATTGCTTGAACCCCGGAGGCAGAGGTTGCAGTGAGCCAAGGTTGTGCCACTGCACTCCAGCATGGGCAACAACAGTGAGACTCCATCTCAAAAACAAAAACAAAAACAAAAACACAAAACAAAACAGAAGAAGAAGAAGGAGTGGGACCTTTGGAGTAGCCTCTTTGGGATTTCTGGTCACAGACTTGGACTTTACTAGCGCTGAAGTCTTGAGCAAGTTCCTGTGCCAGGGACAGATGGGCAATGCAGGGGTTTTTTCTGAAGCCCAGCCTTGTTACTTTAAGCAGGTTTCTCACCCTTGGCACTCCTGACATTTGTAGGGGGCTATCCTGTGTGCTGTAGGACATATATCAGCATCCCTGGCTTCTACCCACTAGATGCCAATAGCACCCCTCTTCCAGTTCTAACAACTAGAAATGTCTCCAGACATTGGCAAATGTCCCCTAAGGATAAAATTGCTCCTGATTGAGAATCACTGCCTTAAAGATAGGCCAGGGAGGCCAAGAGTCATTGAAGCTCCTCCCTGAGGATGTGGGCATATATCCAGATAGAGCCACTGCGTCTTCCCAGCCCTACAGCCGATCAAAGTCTTCCCGATCTGCCAGACAGGAATCTACACTTTGCATTTAGCAAGTGTCTTATTATTTAATACTATAATTTTTGTTTGTTTGTTTCGTTTTGTTTTTGAGACAGAGTCGTACTCTATAGTCCAGGCAGGTGTGCAGTGGTATGATCTTGGCTCACTGCTATCTTTACCTTCAAGCGATTCTCGTGCCTCGGCCTCCCAAGTAGCTGGGATTACAGGTGTGCGCCACCATGCCCAGCTAATTTTTGTGTTTTTAGTAGAGATAGGGTTTTACCATGTTGGCCAGGCTGGTCTCAAACTCCTGACCTCAGGTGTTCCGCCCACCTCGGCCTCCTAAAGTGCTGGGATTACAGGCATGAACCACCACGCCTGATCTTAACATTAGAAATCTTTATACTGGGTTCTGCCACAGTTCACCTCACCACGTGTTGCCAGTATGCAGTGATGAGCCTTTCACTGTAGCTGGGAGCGAGGTGAGGGGCGGACCCAGGACGGAGTTTACAGAGCCAGCAACAGGCTAAAGGTCTGGCTGATCAGGTGGTTCCAGGGATCACCTGGCCGCATAGGCTGGTGGATTGGGCCCTAGCAAAGCCCTGTGTGCCTGCTTGAATATTTAATTTAGAGACCTGGGTTCTAGCCATATTTTAGCCATCTGGCTCTGGTATGGCCTTCATGAATCCTAGTTTGCTCCCCACTAACTTAGGGTCAACTGTACCTGCCTTGTTCAGCTGAGATGAAGCAGGCAGAGGCTCTTTTAAACTGTGTTGCATGTCAGCTATTAATACAAAAAGCATCTGCCCTTTTCCTACAGGCCCACTGACTGTTGCCAGAAACTGTACCATCAGGACATTTCCTGGGGGCTCAGGCATGGTCTGGAACTAATCTGAAATCTGTACTAGCTTCCTGGAGCTCTGGCCCAGCCTTTCTGAATTTGCTCCCATTCAGGCCTGCCTGTATCAGCTGGCTTGTCTACCTACCTACAGGTTTCCCAGGAACGAAGTCCATGTGAGCTGCAGACCATCTGGAAGAGGGCCAGTAAAATCTGGAACAAGGACTGGCTCCTGGAGTCTCCTGCCAGCCACAAACTGCCCTGGTGACTGGAAAACTGTAGGTAGCCCTTACCAGCTTTACTTTAAACAGCAGCTGGGGAAACTAAGGGAATGATGCTGTCCAGTTGTGAATTAGCACACGTGGCATGGACTTTATAGTATTGCCTGTGGTTTCTGTAACACTGAATTAATGAGAAATAGTTTAGCTGGGTGCAGCAGCTCATGCCTATAATCCTAGCACTTTGGGAGGCCAAGGTAGATGGATCGCTTGAGCCCAGGAGTTCAAGATCAGCCTGGGCAACATGGTGAAACCCTGTCTCTAGGAAAAATACAAAAATTAGGCATGGTAGCCTGTGCCTGTAGTCCCATTTACCTAGGACGCTGAGGTGGGAGGATGTCTTGAGGTCGGGAGATCAAGGCTGTAGTTAGCTGAGATCACACCACTGCACTCCAGCCTGGGCAACGGAGCAAGACCCTGTCTCAAAAAAATTTTTTAAAAGGTAAGAAATGGTTTGAAATACACCTCTCTTCTTTCTATATTTTATATGGATGTTAAATTCCCACTTTAAATCTGTGTTTTTAGAAATAGTCAAAAAAAAATCTGCCCTTTCTGATGAAGGTTCATATTTTTTAACATAGAAAACATCGACATTTCCTAAATATACCATTTACAAATAGCTGGAGATGCCGCATTCAGTGTGCAAATTTCTGTTAAATTTTTGTTTGTTTTTTATTACTATTATTTTTTGTAAAGACAGGGTTTTGCCATGTTGCCCAGGCTGGTCTCAAATTCCTGAGCTCAAGCGATCTGCACACCTCGGCCTCCCAAAGTGCTGGGAATTTCTGTTACATTTTTAAAGTTAATTTTTAAATTTAATGTTTGCTTCTTTCCTATCTGCCACCGTGCACAGTATCACCAGAGTCAGAACCCTCTGTAGTTCAATATCTCCAGCGACAAAACCTGTCAACTCCAGTGGTTTTCAACAAAGTTTCTTCAAGGAAATTTCCTTCCAATTGTAGAAAAAATTTAAATTCTTGACATCAATGCTGAAAGGGGTAGACCAAGCAAGTGGAAAAAAGGCTATGGGGTGTGAAACTTCCCTGTGGACTTTCAAAATTGTTGATTAAAAAAAGAAGAGGGCCGGGCGCGGTGGCTCACGCCTGTAATCCCAGCACTTTGGGAGGCCGAGACGGGCGGATCACGAGGTCAGGAGATCGAGACCATCCTGGCTAACACGGTGAAACCCCGTCTCTACTAAAAAATACAAAAAACTAGCCGGGCGAGGTGGCGGGCGCCTATAGTCCCAGCTACTCGGGAGGCTGAGGCAGGAGAATGGCGTGAACCCGGGAGGCGGAGCTTGCAGTGAGCTGAGATCCGGCCACTGCACTCCAGCCTGGGTGACAGAGCGAGACTCCGTCTCAAAAAATAAATAAATAAAAAATAAAAAATAAAAAAAGAAGAAAAAAACCAACAAAACAAAAAAACAAGCAGAATTGGTTGAAATAGAAATTTTCCAAATTAAAAATTGACAAAGATATTAAAAGCACAAGTCAATTTTAAGCTGGTTTTGTTAAGAAGTTTTGACTTTTGTTGTTGTTGTAGTTGTAGATACAGGATCTCAATATGTTGCCTAGGCTGGGCTTAAACTTCTGGCCTCAAGTGGTCTTTTTGCTTTGACCTCCCAAATGCTGGGATTACAGGTATAAGCCACCATATCTGGCCTCACCTATTTGTTTAACCAAAATGTCTGCTTCCATGAACTACTTCTTGTTCTTCAAATAATACTTGGTCCATTTTCTGCTGCTGTAACAGAATACCACAGACTGGGTGGTTTACAAAGAACAAAAATTTATTTGGCTCATGTTTCTGGAGACTGGAAAGTCTAAAAGCATGGCACTGGCATCTGGTGAGGGCCATCCCATGGTGAAAAGCAGAAGGCAAAATTGAGCACGTGAGACAGAGAATAGGGGCCAAACTTATCTTTTTATCAGAAGTCTACTCCTGAGATAACTTACCCACTCCCATGATAACACCATTAATCCATTCATGATCTAATCACCCTGTAAAGGTGTCACCTCTAAATACTGTTACAATGGCAATTAATTTTCTCTTTTAAAAAAATAGAGACAGGTCTTGCTATACTACCCACACAGATCTCAAACTCCTGGGTTCAAGCAATCCTCCTGTCTCAGCCTCCAATGTGTTGAAATGACAGGAGTGAGCCACTGCGTCCAGCTGGCAATTAATTTTCAACATGAGTTTTGGCAGGGACATTCAAACCATAGCAAATACACAATTCATTGTTCATTCCATTTAATGCTTTACTCCCTAGTTATTTATTGATTCTCCTCAGGGTCCCTGGCAAACAGTGGAAAACTTCATCTTTGGCCTCCTTGACCTCTGCTAATTCATTCATTTAACAGACATTTGTTGAGAACCTGCTGTACCTCAGACAATATACAAGCAATGTGAATCCAGACCAGGAAGAGCTCCTAATAAACGGTGAACCACAAATAGTACACAGGTAAGAGCTATGACTGAGAATTACGTATGAAATATTGTGTGACTACAGCTGAGAAACCATAGAACTTCCAGTGACAGCATGAGCCAGCTTGGCTAATGAAGTGACAATTGAGGTATATTAAAATCACTTTAGCCCATATCATATGGCTCACTCATCTTCTCCACTACATGCAAAAGAAAATAAAACCTATTGTGTTTTCCATTCAAATGAAAACATAGGTTGAAGTTCTCTCCTGAGTTGTCATCTTTTTTCTACCTTGTTTTCCCAGAAGACTGTGATATGGTGAGAGGTCACAGAATTTGCAATCAAAATTAGAATTTTCTGCCACTTAATTGCTATGACCTTTGGACAAGTTACTTGACTTCTGTGGATCTTAGAGTCTTAGTCTGTTAAAACAGGAGTCCCCAATCCCTGGGCCGTGGACTGGTGCTGGTCCCCAACCCCTGGGCCATGGACTGGTGCCGGTCCATGGCCTGTTAAGAACTGGGCCACACAGCAAGAGGGAAGTGGCAAGCAAGAGAAGCTTCATCTGTATTTATAGCTGCTCCCCATGACATCACTGCCTGAGCTCCATCCACCTGTCAGATCAGTGGTGGCATTAGATTCTCATAGAAACATGAACCCTATTGTGAACTGCACATGGAAGGGATCTAGGTTATGCACCTCTTATGAGTATCTAATGCTGGATGATCTGTCACTGTCTCCCCTCATCCCCAGATGGGACTGTCTAGTTGCAGGAAAGCAAGCTCAGGGCTCCCACTGATTCTACATTATGGTGAGTTGTATAATTATTATATGTTCCAAGGTAATAATATTATAAATAAAGTGCACAATAAATGTAATGCGGTTGAATCATCCTGAAACCATCCTTGCCACCCCCGGTCCATGGAAAAATTGTCTTCCATGAAATGGATCCCTGGTGCCAAAAATGTTGGGGACTGCTGGGTTAAAAGAGATGACAGATGCCGGGCACGGTGGCTCACACCTGTAATCCCAGCACTTTGGGAGGCCGAGGCGGGCAGATCACAAGGTTGGGAGATCGAGACCATCCTGGCTAACACGGTGAAACCCCATCTCTACTAAAAATACCAAAAAAAAAAAAAAAAAAAAAAAAAGCCAGGTGTGGTAGCGGGTGCCTGTAGTCCTAGCTACTCAGGAGGCTGAGGCCAGAGAATGGCGTGAACCTGGGAGGCGGAGCTTGCAGTGAGCCAAGATCGCGCCACTGCACTCCAGCCTGGGTGACAGAGCAAGAATGTGTCTCAAAAAAAAAAAAAAAAAAAAAAAAAAAGACAATAGGCTGGGTGTGGTGACTCACACCTGTAATCCCAGCACTTTGGGAGGCCAGGGCAGCGGGGATCACTTGAGGCCATGAGTTCGAGACCAGTCTGGCTGACATGGTGAAACCCTATCTCTACCAAAAATACAAAAATTAGCTGGGCGTGGTGGTGCACGCCTGTAATTCTAGCTACTCAGGAGGCTGAAGCAGGAGAATCACTTGAACCCAGGAGAATCACTTGAACCCAGGAGGTTATAGGTTGCAGTGAGCTGAGATCGTGTCACTGTACTCCAACCTGGGCAACAGAGCAAGACTTCGTCTAAAAAAAAAAAAAAGAAATAGCAACTATGTAGCAGGCTGCTGTCAGTATTAGCAATAATGTATACAAAATTATATACTGTTGTACTGATGGCTCCCATTGAATCAGACCTACTGATATTCCTGGTATTCATACCCTTGGGTAGCCTCCTCCCATATTGACTCTGGGCTTGGTCGTATGACTTGTTGGCTAATGAGACATAACTGTGACCCAAGCAGAGGCTCAATAAATATTTGCACATTCAGCCTGACCAACACGGTGAAACCCCGTCTCTACTAAAAATGCAAAAATTAGCTGGGCATGGTGGCGGGTGCCTCAAGTCCCAGCTACTTGGGAGGCTGAGGCAGGAGAATCGCTTGAACCCAGGAGACAGAGGTTGCAGTGAGCCAAGATCGTGCCACTGCACTCCAGCCTGGGCGACAGAGCCAGACTCTGTCTCAAAAAAAGAAAAAAAAAATTGTGCACATTGAGGCTTACACTCTTGGAACTCAGATGCCATGTAAAGAAATTTGGGCTACCCTACGTAAAGAGAGAGGCCCCAATCTTCCAGCTGTCCCCACCAAGTGAGGCCCTCTGGGACCTTCCAGTTCCAGCCAACCCACCAGCTGAACACAGCTTCTTCAGTGAGCCCAGGAAAGCAAGCTCAGGGCTCCCACTGATTCTACATTATGGTGAGTTGAACAACGCAGCCAGACCACAAAATCATGAGAAATTACTGTTTCGTTTCAAGCCACTACATTTTAGCATGACTCGTTAAGCAAGAATATATAATGGATTTTATATATTATAAAAGTATTTTAAAAATACTTTTAAAAATACTCCCATATACCTACTATAAGCCGAACACTATGCTAGGCTTTAGGGAGACAGCAGTGAACAAGACCAACAAGGGCCTCCCTCTCATGGAGCTCACATTCTAGTGGGGAAGAAAGACCAGAAAAATCAAACGACTGTGCTTTGTTTTGTGTACTATAAAGGACAAGGTTTATGAGCTGAAGCAGAGAATAACAGGGAACAGCAGTTGCTTTTGATAAGGTAATCAGGGAAAACCTCTCTGAGACTAAATTCAAGCAGAAACTTACAACATGAGAAGAAAGCAGTCAGGCAAAGAGTAATAGACTAGGTCCTCAATAAATCACAGCTATAACTAGTAACATATAAAATTATTGATATTTATTATTTGTATACTTGGTACACAGAAGACATATATATATATATAAAATCTTCATCTATACATAAAATCCATATATCTATATACTTCATATATCTATATATATAGATATATATAGTTCCCTGCCCTTTCCCTTCCCCTGTGTCATCAGTCAGGGTCCAATTAGAAAAACAGAAATCACAGAAGGGATTGTATTATCCTGTTCTCACACTGCTATAAATAAATACCTGAGACTGGATAATTTATAAAGGAAAGAGGTTTAATTGACTCACCGTTCCACAGTGCTGGGGAGGCCTCAGGAAACTTACTATCATGGCGGAAGGCGAAGGGGAGGCAAGGACCTTCTTCACAGGGCGGCAGGAGAGAGAAGGGAGAGTGCAGGACAAAAACTGCCACTTTTGAAAACCGTCAGATCTTATGGGACTCACTCACTGTCGCTAGAAGAGCATAATCTAATCACTTCCCTTCCCCAACACGTGGGGATTACAGGGCCCTTCCTTGACGTGTGGGGATTACAATTTGAGATTTCGAGATGAGATTTGGGTAGGGACACAGATCCAAACCTTATCAGGGATTTAATATAGAGGATTTGTTTCAGGTGTCAGAAAGCTGAACGAGCAGAAAGCAATACTGAGGTATCCTAGAGGGCTACAGAGAGCAACTAATTCTTGTAGTGCTGGAATAACTAAAGGGAAGAGGTTGGGAGTCACCACTGCCTAGAAACTCGGAGGAGCGTCTATGAAGAGAAAGCATCACTCAGCTGCTATTGATATTTCTGAAAGGGCTCAATGAGGTTGGTTCTCAAGGAGCACCTAAAGTAGCTGGAAGCTGGAGCCAACTATTTGTAAAGTAAAGTGTTGTTTTGGGGGTAACACTGGCAGAAAGAGCAAGTTGGAAGAAAGTCCCTTCTTCTTTTCTGTTACCTTCCAATTTTCCTCTAGTGCCCACTATTGACAGAGCTTTGCAGAAATGCAGCTAGCAAAGAAATCTGTTAAAGGAACAGTGCAGCATCCCAGACACAGCATAAAAGAGAGGAGCATGCACAGGCAGATTTGGAGCTGAGAAACGGCAGGCAAAGGGCTAAGAATGTCCAGGTTACTTTTCCTAACTCCTGTTTTTCCAGCATCTGATCCAGTATACCATTTGTTCTGACTCTCTGTTGTTATTTTTAAGAAGGAATTTTTGTTTTAAAAAAGTTTCTGAATAAAACTGGTTTTGGCCAGGTGCAGTGGCTTACACCTGTAATCCCAGCACTTTTGGAGGCTGGGGCAGGTGGATCATTTGGTTCAGGAGTTCCAGACCACCCTGACCAACATGGTGATACCCCATCTCTATTAAAAATACCAAAAAAAAAATTAGCTAGGCACAGTGGCGCATGCCTGTAATCCCAGCTACTTGGAAGGCTGAGGCAGGAGAATCGCTTGAACCCGGGAGGTGGAAGGTGCGGTGAGCCGAGATCGCACCACTGCGCTCCAGGCTCTGTCTCAAAAAAACAAACAAAACAAAACAAAAAAACCTATTTTATATATACTAATGTAATAAAATGACGATCAAGTATGTATTAGGTTGGTGCAAAAGTAATTGCAGTTTTTGCCATTGAAGGTAATGGCAAATATGCCCTTCATCAGAACACGATGGCAGGAACTTCTATCCTTGCCTGTCTCAGTAGAAATGAATGGGTGAGTGACTGGATGAATGCGACTTACAAGATCTGTCTTTCCAATGGCCGGGGGACATTTGGTCCCCACACTAAGGCTCTTGGACATCTGCACAGGACAGTCCTATTTTTGGTGTCCTTTCCTTTCTGAAAATAAAGTTATGCTTTGTAGAATGAAAAAAAAAAAGTGATGGCAAAAACCGCAATTACTTTTGCACCAACCTAAAATATAAACTACCTACAGCAGCCACTAAAACCTAATCAAAGAGATATACTTAAAAACACTATAATTTAAAAAAAAAGGAAATCTGAAAAATGTTCAAATAACCCACAGGAAGACAGAAAAAAAAAATCCATAAAGACAAAAGCAGGGGAGAACCAACAGAAAACAAAACAGGAGACGTACACCAATATATTAATAATATCATTAGCTGCTACAGCCCCTGCCTTGAGTGCATGGCACTCCAGCCTGCATGAATGCTCCCCACAGCTGCCACCACCCATTGGAATGGCCAACAGGGTACCTGCATGTGGCCTGAGCCAGGAGGTGCAGCAGAAAATTGAGAATCCATATGACACAGACCTGGAGCAGATCAATGGATCACCACCCAGTGCCAAAAGCATGTGGGCTGGCCCCAGCCTGGATACGAGAACTTCCAGAATTTCCTCAAGGAGGGCACAGAGCTATGTGAGCTCATTAACGCACTGCGCCCCGAGGGGCAGGCCCCAGTAAAGAAGACCCGGGCCTCCACCATGGCCTTAAAGCAGATGGAGCAGATTATCTCAGTGCCTGCAAGCAGCTGAGCGCTACGGCATTAACACCACCGACGTCTTCCAAACTGTGCTCCCCCGGGGAGGAAAGGACATGCCCTGTGTACAGTAGATCCTGATGAACCTAGGTGGGCTGCCAGTAGCCCAGGACGATGGGCTGTTCTCTGGGGCTCCCATATGGTTCCCTAAGAAACCCAAGGAGAATCCTTGGAACTTCTCAGACAACCACCTACAAGAGGGCAGGAACATGATTGGGGTACAGATGGGCACCAACCGCGGGGTATCTCAGGCTGGCACGATCGGCTATGGGATGTCACGCTAGATCCTCTGATCTGAGGACTAAGCTCTGATTTTTTTTTTTTTAAATCTTGCCCAAATTCCTATCTGGGGAGTCATGCCCTACAAACCACAAATTCTCATCAGATGGGTTTTATTTAACCCTGTATATTGTGACTTACTTTCCAATCTGACTCTGGAATAACATTATGAGACAAGGAAGGAAATCAAAATATTTTACCCCAAGACATGTTTCTCTGCCATATCATCATATGGCCCTGCAAAGCTGTCCTTTTGGGGGGAAATTTTGCATCTGTAAATAATCTCTATCAACATAGCTAGATCTTTTTTTTTTTTTTTTCCCCAGGCCCTCCCAATCCTAAAGAAATTGAAAGTTTTGCACCTTTTGTTTTTGAGATGGAGTCTCGCTCTGTCACCCAGGCTGGAGTGCAGTGGCATGATCTCAGGTCACTGCAACCTCTGCCTCCCAGGTTCAAGTGATTCTCCTGCCTCAGCCTCCCAAGTAGCTGGGATTACAGGCACGTGACATCATGCCCATGTCTCTGTATTTTTAGTAGAGATAGGGAAACTCAGTCTCAGGTAACCTCCGCCTCACAGGTTCAAGTGATTGTCACTTGATTCTTGTGCCTCAGTCACCCAAGTAGCTGGAATTACAGGTGCCCGCCACCATGCCAGGCTAGTTTTTGTATTTTTAGTAGAGACAGGGTTTCACCATGTTGGCCAGGTTGGTCTCGAACTCCTGACCTCAAGTGATCCGCCTGCCTCAGCCTCCCAAAGTGCTGGGATTACAGGCATCGGCCACTGCGCCAGGCCTGGCATCAGAGTTTTTAAGGACAACTTACCGGGAGGGGGGAAGCCAGTGAGCTGTGAGTGCCGATCGGTCGGTCAGTGATGAAATCATAGGGAGTTGACGTTGTCATCTTGTGCTGAGTCAGTTCCTAGGTGGAGGCCACGAGATCGGATGAGCCAGTTTATGGATCTGGGTGGTGCCAGCTGATCCATCAAGTGCAGGGCCTGCAAAATATCTCAAGTACTGATTTTAGGAGCAGTTTAGGGAGGGTCAGACTCTTGTAGCCTCCAGCTGCAGGACTCCTAAACCATAATTTCTAATCTCGTGGCTAATTTGTTCGTTTGTTCGTCCTATAAAGGCAGTCTAGTCCCCAGGCAAGAAGGAGGTTTGTTTTGGGAAAAGGCTGTTATCATCTTTGTTTTAAGCTATAAACTAAGTTCCTCTCAAAGTTAGTTCAGCCTTGGCCCAGGAAGGAACAAGGACAGCTTAAAGGTAGAACCAGTATGGAGTCGGTTAGGTTAGATCTCTTTCACTGTCTCAGTTATAATTTTGCAAAGGCAGTTTTACTTCTCCCACAGCTGTGGCTACAGGGACTTAATTTATAGGGAGGGGCCTGTGGCAGCTGCTACCCCAGCCGCTGCTGCACTGTGCTCACCACACATCTAGGGTAGCCTTCCCTGGTAGAGGTCCTCCTGGCTTCTCATTTTCCATTCCCCTCACTGTGGCTAGGGAGTGGGGGTGACAGAACAGAGGAAGGAGGGCTGCCTACCGTGGTCTGGGGCTTGAGGAATAAAGAACCCCAGGCCAGGTGCAGTGGCTCACACCTGTAATCCCAGCACTTTGGGAGGCTGAGGTGGGCGGATTACCTGAGGTCAGGAGTACAAGACCAGCCTGGTCAACATGGTGAAATCCCGTCTCTACTAAAAAAATACAAACCTTAGCCAGGCATGGTAGCAGCGTCTGTAATCCCAGCTACTTGAGAGGCTGAGGCAAGACTGCAGCCTGGGCAACAAGAGTGAAACTCCACTCAAAAATACAAAAAATAAAAAATAAAGTGAGTCTCCCCTAGACAGCATATAGTTTGATCATGTGTTTTTTATCCTTCTCTCAATATTACCCTTTGATTGAAGTGTTTAATCAATTTATATTTAATGTAATTATTGTAGGATTTTTATCTGCCATTTTGCTATTTGTTTTCTATGTCTTATGGCATTTTATTGTTCCTCTATTCCTTTATTACTGCCCTCTTTTGTGTTAGATATTTTCTCATGTACCATTTTAATTCTCTTGTCATTTATTTTTTCTTTCCTTTTTTTTTTTTTTTTTTTGACAGAGTCTTGCTCTGTCGCCCAGGCTGGAGTGCAAGATCACAATCTCGGCTTACCGCAACCTCCGCCTCAAGGTTCAAGTGATTCTCCTGCCTCAACCTCCTTAGTAGCTAGGATTACAGGCGTGTGCCACCAGGCCTGACTAATTTTTGTATTTTGGGGGTTTCCGTTTCACTATGGGGTTTCAGTTTCACTATGTTGGTCTCAAACTCCTGACCTCATGATCCACCCGCCTCAGCCTCCCACCTTTCTTTTTTTCTAGAGATGGGATCTTGCTATGTTGCCCAGGTTAAACTTGAACTCCTGGGCGCAAACAATCCTCCCACCTCAGCCTTCCAAGTAGCTGGGACTATAAGTGTTTTTTCACCACACTCAGCTCTTATCATTTCTCTTACTATATTTTCTATTTATGTTCTCTGTTGCCCTTGTGATTACAGTTAACATCTTAAGTTATAACCATCTACTTTAAATTAATACCAACTTAATTTCAATAATATACAAGAGCTTTGTTCCTATATAGTTCTATTACTTCACCACTAGTTTGTGTTATTACAGTCATACAAAATAAGCCCAATACAGTTTTATAATTATTGCTTATTCAGTTATCTTTTAAATCAGGTAGAAGAAGGAAAGACTTATACACACACAAAAATCATTTATGTCTTTTACATTTACCTATATAGGAGGTACCATTACTAGTGCTTTATTCCTTTGTGTGGGTCAGAATTACCGTCTATTTCCTTTTATTTGTTCAAGGTCTCAGTCACCCAGGCTGGAGTGCAGTGGTGTAATCATAGTTCACTGCAACTTCAAACTCTAGTGCTCAAGTGATCACCCTGCCTCATCCTTCCAAAGTGTTGAGATTACAGGCATGAGCCACCATGCCTGACCCACAGTTTTCTGTGTTTAACCAGTGAATGTCTTTATTTCTCCTTCACCTTTAAAGGATAGCTTTACTGGATATAGAATTTTTGACTGACAGTACTTTTTAATTTCGGCACTTCATATGTCACCCCAGTGACTTCTGATCTCCATGATTTCTGATGAGAGATTCTCTGTTAATCTTATTGAGGCCTTACTGTATGTGACAAGGCACTTCTCTCTTGCTGCTTTCAAGATTCTTTGTCCTTGCCTTCAGCAGTTGGATTAGGATGTTTTTAGGTGTTGATCTCTTTGAGTTTATCTTACTTGGAGTTTGGCGAGGTTCTGGATGTGTATATTAACGTTTTTCATCAAATTTGTGAAGTTGTAGGTCATTATTATTTGACATATGAATTATGCCCCATTCTCTCTCTCCTCTCTTCTGGGACTCCCATTATATATAGGCTGATATGCTTGATGGTGGCTCAAGGATCTGAGTCTCTTGTTTATTTTTATCCATTTATTTTCCTTCTATTCCTCAGATTGGATGATCTCAGTTGACCTGTCTTCAAGTTTGCTGTTGTACCCCTCTAATGAATTTTTTATTTCAGGTTTTGTACTTTTCAACTTCAGAATTTCTATCTGTTTCTTTTTTTTAATATAATTTCTATATGATAATTGATGTACATATGGTGCACATTGTTCTTATGCTTTCCTTTAGTTCTTTAAACATATTAGTTCTTTGAACATATTTTTAACAGCTGATTTAAAGTCTTTGTCTAGTAAGTGTAATGTCTGGGGTCCCTAAAGGACACCGAAAGTTTACTGGCACCATATGACCTTTTTTGACCTAGTCTTTTATTTTGTTTAGGTAGTCACACAAGTCCACCCAATTTCAAGTGGGGAGTGGCAAGGCTCTGGAAGAGTAGATGGGACCAGAAATGCTTGTGTGACCATTTGTGGAAAATATAATCTGCCACATTTACTGTTTTGGAAAATCAAGTCACTAATGGCAGCGCTGCTTATAGTAGTCAAGTCACCAGTTCAATACACTTGTCTCAGCCTGCATTAGTACCATAAAGCACACATATGAAGATTTTTTTTTTTTTTTGGAGACAGAGTTTCACTCCTATTGCCCAGGCTGGAGTAAAATGGTGCAATCTCAGCTCACTGCAACCTCCCCCTCCTGCGTTCAAGTGATTCTCCTGCCTCAGCCTCCCAAGTCGCTGGGATTACAGATGACCACCATCATGCCCAGCTAATTTTTGTTATTTTTAGTAGAGATGGGATTTTGCCATGTTGGCCAGGCCGGTCTCAAATTCCTGACCTCAGGTGATCCACCCGCCTCGGCCTCCCAAAGTGCTGGGATTACAGGCTTAAGCCACTGCGCCCAGCTGAAGATGATTTTTAAGATGTGAGCCTTAAGCTACTTCTTGGGTCTTCTGGAGTTGTAGTGGCCAAACATTTTTATATTAAAGTACCTTTCATAAATTAGCTTTATTTTATTTATCTTTTATATAACAATTATGACATTACATTTATTTTCTGCATTAAATAATCATTAAATTTTATAATTTTTTATTGAAGTATAACATATATGCTGAAGTACCCAAATCTTCAGTGTATAGCTCAAGAAATTTTTTCAAAGTAATAGTACTTATTTATTATCTCACAGTTTCTATTGGTCAGGAATTCAAGAGCAGCTGAGTTGGTGGTTCTGGCTCAGAGTCGCTCATTAGGTTGGAGTTGTATGTCGGCTGGGACTGCAGTTATCTGCAGGCCTCACTGGGGCTGGAGGATTCACTTTCAGTGTGATTCACATGGCTGGCAAGTTGGTGCTGGCTGGTGGTTGGGGGCCTCAGATCCTTTCTCCATGGGGCTCTCCCTGGGTTTCTCTGAGTGTCCTGACAATATGGTGGATGGATTCCCACAGAGCAAATAATCCCAGGTACCAAGGTGGAATTGGCAATACCATTTATGATCTAGCCTTCAAAGCCACATGCCATCATTTCTACCATATTTTATTGGCCACACAGAGCCAACTCTGATTCACTGTGGGAGGGGACTACACAAGGGCATGAATACCAGGAGGCTGGGATTACTGGGGGACGGCTACTACATTGCCCCATAGATGGATTCTGTTCTGGATTCCATAGGCACATCAGTGTCTTGCATCGCCTTCTTTTTTTTTTTTTTTTGAGATGGAGTTTCACTCTTGTCGCCCAGGCTAGAGTGCAATGGTGCGGTCTTGGTTCATGTGAATCACTTCTTAACTTCCTGTGTTTTGAATGTTGCATTTGTATTTTCCAACAATCACCCTTGGCTCCTCAAGGCTGTGCCCTCCTTAGTATCTTTGAGTCCTGAGAACACTGTTTGTTACTAGCCATTCAATAATTCCCATTGCCAAAGCTCCAAGGCTCAGCTGCCTGTTTGTCTGGAGGTTTTCAAATAGACAAGGACGTGTTAATGACCTAGTACGTTATCTGTTAAGTTTTGGCAGGCAGCATGGAAATGTGACTTTTTAAATACGAAAAATAAAATTGTAATTGTATTCTTTTTATTTATTTATTTATTTATTTATTTATTTTGAGACGGAGTCTCGCTCTGTCGCCCAGGCTGGAGTGCAGTGGCCGGATCTCAGCTCACTGCAAGCTCCGCCTCCTGGGTCTACGCCATTCTCCTGCCTCAGCCTCCCGAGTAGCTGGGACTACAGGCGCCCGCCACCTCGCCCGGCTAGTTTTTTGTATTTTTTCAGTAGAGACGGGGTTTCACCGTGTTAGCCAGGATGGTCTCGATCTCCTGACCTCGTGATCCGCCCATCTCGGCCTCCCAAAGTGCTGGTATTACAGGTTTGAGCCACCGCGCCCGGCTGTAATTGTATTCTTAAACAACCACAATTACTTACTAATGGTATGTGTGCCTGTTGCGCAGTGCACAGTTCCTCAAACCATGGAATCAAATTAGACATTGCCATTCATATTTCCTGTTCCACATCGATATTTACACACTACTTGCTTTTTTTAATAACGGGAAAT